ATTTTACTTAAACTCACATTTTCCTCTTTCAGAAACTTTTGCAAATCTTCATCTTTTGAATAGGCTGGGTGGGCAACAACAAGTTGAAGAAATCTGAATGACACACAAAAAAATATCAACGATTATATATCCTTTTTTATTCAATTTTTCTCCCACCTTCACTCAAGTGCTCTGTTACTTGCTCATTTACTCCTTCATTCTTTCCCTATACTTCAATATTTGTTATTTTTGCTATTTGACAGATAGTTACATGCACAGTCTGTGCCTACATTGTACATCTATTCACACTTTTGTCTGTTTTGTTTTGTTTTGTCTGTTTATAAATTTATAAATTATTTTATCGGCCCTTTAATTCCTTTTCAATCACTCATGCTAACATTTCAAGACTTACTTCTCCATGTTACGACAATCTCTTGAAAACTCATCAGCAACCATGTTTTTAGCATCTTTCCCTAAGAAAATAAATATCAGTACTTATAAGTAAATGACAAAAAGTCATTTCACACTTAAACTAGAAAATAGAATCTCTACTGATCAAATCAATAGAAATCACCCTAATGATAGAGACCGTTGGGAGTGTTTCATTTCTCACTTACCAAGTTGCTTTTTAGACTTTGCTTCTGCAGCGCTGACGGTGGTCACGGGCTTTGGAGGTAATGGTGGTATCTAAGAAAAACAATCTATCTAAATCATGATTTTGTCCTTTTTAACCCAGTTTTGTTGCTGTACTTCAGAGCAAAATGTAAAGTGTAGGGAATTAGCTGAAAAAAAAATCAAAGTAAAAAACGGACTTACAACAACTCCATCCACATTGTTGTGAGCTATTAAACAGTGATAAAGCCACTCTAAGTCTTTATACTGACGCAGAACGACGACTCCTTTCTCTTCTTCACTTTCATCAACCTGTTAAAGCAAATAGCACAGATAGATGAAGATGGTTGATTCTGGGCACCATTAACTTTTTATGCCTCAAATCATTATGCATATTCTCCATACTCATTTTTTAATGTTTCCTGTGACTCTGGTAAAGAGAATTTGTTTCACCATCAGGAGCTTTTTCAGTTTACGATAATTTGCTTTATTCTCATAACCTTTAAGTGTGAATCAGCAGAGACGAAGTAGTGAGAAATTAGATGTTAGACACTGATCATTAATGGCTAATAGGGTTTATAGCGACTATATTTTCCATTTTCCAGGGGTCAGTGGTTCGAATCCCATACAGGCCTGAATTTTTTCAAGTCTGATTTTCACTATTGTTTAAATACTGCTTCACTGCAAGGATTGTGCACATATATGTTTCATAACCGCAGTTCAGATATATGTATTTCATATATTCATTGTGTTTGATTTGTCACCTTATTGGTCTATGTGGAATTAATTTGATGGCCTGCTCCGAGTTGGCTTGTTAGCTCAATTGGTGGAGCGCTGCACTACGTTGACTTCGAACGAACTGAAACAGAGAAATCATCGATTATGTTATCGAATCTGTACTATCCAGGAAATTTCTGTATTACGACTCTCTTCTTTACCATCTTTAAACTGCAATAGAGGTGAGAGAGGCAAATCTCCGTTTGGATTCTTCACTTTCCCAAACCTCGTGAAACTTAGGTTATAGTAAGGTAATTACTTTAAGACATTACAGTGTACCACTTTTCAAAAAGAATCGTATTACAGGTGACAGTACTACTCTCCGCGGATAGCCAATAAAATCAAAGATCAGCGAAGTGGACTTACAATGTTAGTTTGTATGGTGAATTTTACGATCTCGCCGTCCTTACTGGCATCGAGAATTTTAACCGGCCAAGACAAACCCTGCTCTCCAACGCCATTAACTTCAGTTTCCGTCTGAAAACGGAAAGCAAATTAGACACACCTGCAGGAATCTCAAATAGCTCTAATTTACTTTAAAACAGCTGTTACCATTTTGTGTCATCAGAACAGCCCGCAATCTGGATTCCGATGGTTTAATCTGTTTGGCATTCTGATATGAACCTGCGCATATATGTAAATGAAAATAGATATAAAATAGATATAAAATAGGCACTTTTTTCGTAAGGGATGTGACCTAAAATTAATGAGTTTTTGTTCCCGAAAAAAACTCCATATGTTTATCTGACTTTAACTTGAGACCAAAAACACCGAATGACAAGAATTTTACAACCAGTAACGTAAATGACTGCAAGCCAACTTCTGCTTGAAATTTAGTTAACCCTTCTTGCTGTCCCATTAGTTGGCAGAGAACTGAATGAAGATATTGGCCCACCATCAAAGTTACCTACCTCCCCATTCCTTCTGATTCCCAACAGTAAATGTAACTATTAGGGCTGTCAATAAGTTTGAAAGTAGATGGCAAATACCAAACTCGAATTAACAGGCCAGATTGTTAAAAACACCATAATGTTCTGTTACGTAACATGCATGCAACACTATAAATTATTCAGTTTAAATGAACCTTTAGAAAATTTTTAACAAAGAATTGACTCACAAATGCACATATCTATTTTTGGTCAAGTATGCATTCATTTCCACTCAACTAGGAAATGGCCTCAGCACAAATTTATTCATGATACATCAATATATAGTAACAATATTCATTTTTTTTTTGGAAGTACTGATGGTGAAATGAGGCAAATGCAGCTAGCTAAAAGCAGCAGACAGACAACAGTTTTGGCTTCTTATCAGCTCTCATTGAAAGCTCAAGTTATCCCCTAGGAACACACTGGAACTATACTTGACTAGTAAATTTAAATCAACATACAGTCCGGTACTTAAAAGACAATCAAAACCCTTCATGAAGTTGTACAACCTTAGGGCTAGCTTTTATCTGCCTCTAATCTAGCAGCACACTCAAGACATTGAGTTCTCAACCTTGGCCACAATGGCGCCTTCATTTGGCACTATTTTATGCCCCGCATTGAATTTATGTTGAAGGTCAGACAAGTATGGCTTATAATCATAAGAGGGTAAGAGTACAGGCATTGTACTTTGCTTCACAATCTTGATGTGTCTATCTTTAGATAGCTACTGCATCTAATGAGGTCTTATAAACTCTTGACTAATGTGCCACTTAAGCAAGTTAAGCTTGTTTCAGCNCGAAACCCCACACCCTTCTTTGCACTTTGCCTTGATTCCCAGATGTGATCAAAACATAACTTCTCTTTACAATCGTAATGCTTAACTCAGCAAACAGGTAAATATTGATCACCAAACCCGAGATTGCTTTAAAAATATACACTATTGGCTTGCCTAAGAATTAAAAACTTTGAGACGATTAGCGTGACTTCTCTCGAGGAGATCACGAGGTTTAAAAACCAGCTGAAAAGTGCAACTGAAGGAACGAACTGAAACAGAGAAATTATCGATTATGTTATCGAATCTGTACGATCCAGGAAATTTCTGTATTACGACTCTCTTCTTTACCATCTTTAAACTGCAATAGAGGTTAGAGAGGCAAATCTCCGTTTGGATTCTTCACTTTCCCAAACTTCATGAAAGTTAGGTTATCGCAAGGTAATTTATACTTTAAGCCATTACAGTGTACCACTTTTCAAAAAGAATCGTATTACAGGTGACAGTACCACTCTCCGCGGCTAGCCAATAAAATCAAAGATCAGCGAAGTGGACTTACAATGTTAGTTTGTATGGTGAATTTTACGATCTCGCCGTCCTTACTGGCATCGAGAACTTTAACGGGCCAAGACAAACCCTGCTCTCCAACGCCATTAACTTCAGTTTCCGCCTGAAAACGGAAAGCAAATTAGACACATCTACAGGAATCTGAAATAGCTCTAATTTACTTCAAAACAGCTGTTACCATCTTGTGTCATCAGAACAGCCCGCAATCCGGATTCCGATGGTTTAATATGTGTGGCAATCTGATATGAACCTGCGCATATGTGTGGCGATATTTTAACTAAATCACACCACGTAAAATCTCTTGCTTCAAACAACCGCGTTACAGCCGTCGTTTTGACTGACAGCGCAAACTCGTTCCCAGGGTCTAATACTCCGACGGGGGCTTGGAGGATAGAATATAGAACGTGGATGAGTGTTTTAATATCCTAGATCACGCTCCCACAACACTCCGACTTCAAATCAAAGAAGCCATTCACATTCAAGGTGAGCAAACAACACTCAATCATCAACCGTATCGTGTCAATCTAAGACTTTCTTTATAACTGCGTGCATTGTATTTGTCTTTAACTTTGTTTTGTCCCACGCGAGTACTGCCAGTATATACACAAATTAATTTTTGTACTTTGTAAATATTTTAACTGAAGATGACAATAGTTACTGTCGAAACACGTCTATTAAAAATGTCATGTATTTTATCAAATTGGTTGCATATCTGCTTTGATCTAGACCTTCCGTAAATTTGTTTTGCTGCTCTACGGCTAACTATTAACCCCATCAAGATCCTCTTACAGGCCTGGAACCATATTTTGAGATCTAAACCTAAGAAACAGCAGCAGAAATATATACTGGTGAGGGGGGGGGTGGGAGGTTCTGTAATGTCCTGAACCTCTTTCGTGGGATAGTTTTTTGTTTAAGTACACAGTGTACAAATCTTATAGTTCAGGGCCCAGTATTCTTATAGTTTAAGGCCCAGTTGTATTAAAGGGCGGTAATGCTATCGAACAGATAGACCGCTATCCAGCGGTTAAGTGTTAGAAAAACGTACTGCCTACCCATAAAAATCATATATACACAGTCATTTATCACTTCACGGGTTTATTACGAGCCAACATAACGACCAACTCCCAGTAGGCTTTTCACAACTCAGTTGGTAAAGCACTGCACCGTTATCGTGGAGGTCATGGGTTCAAATACCGCACAGGCCTGGATTTTTTTCAGGCCTTATTTTCACTATTGCTTAAGTAGTGTTCATTATTGCGAATATTGCTTTAATATACATTTTCATAAGAATCTACACGGCAAGCGTCACTGAGCGTCCCCACTGTCCATGCGACAAAATGTCAGTTATAGTAAAACACCGCGCAGACCTCGACATGATGGTCAGAAAGGCACCCTGGGTGTAACACAGAATGACTCCCCTCCCCCTTTTCTAAAATCCTACCTACGCCCCTTAGTAGAGCTGGTGCTGGTCTTAGCTCAAAACCAGCTCACTCTGTATTCTTTTCTTAAAATTTACATTATATGAATTTTAAACCATCAATGTTACGATCTTGAATGCAAACATGGCAACCAAAGACTGGTTCAATTTTTAGAACAGGTTACCATGGTTACTGTCAAGACTTTTCAAAAAAACCTGGTAGTAGGAGTATGCATCATAATCACATAACCTGTACACCCCCCTCCCCTCCCCCCCCCTCAMCCCGCGCGCGGTTTCATTGTAAAACGGTATGGCATTGAAAACAGAATTGGGTCAAGATCGGAATTTTTGTTACAGTCACTCACTCACTCTCTCACTCATTTCGACAACATAACTGGCTTCGCATCCTATTAGAGGTAGTAACCACAAAAAAATTCCATGCATGAAAAGGCGTTGGCGTTTGCGGGGGCAGGACCAGAAAATGGCGTATAGAAGAAAGAGAAAGAAACGTGGTTAGATGATAAAATGTCCATTGACTGGGTATGATTGAGTAAGGCTGAGTCAGACGAGAAAACATATGGCTCTCGGCTATGATGTGCAGCCTCATTCAATTCAAGCAAATTGTTCCTCTTTCGGCCCTTACCCGCGCACCCCTCCGATACAGGTACATAATGTTCCTCGACCTTTTACGCTAGTCACAGAAAATGGAATAAGCTCTGACGGCTGTTATGCGACTTGAAGAATAACCCCATAAACTTTAAATTATTTTGTCTACAAACTATTACTACATTTTTTTTCTTGAGATGATTCTGGTGACTGTTCTGCTGCACTGTGAAAGATCAAGAGGAAGTAATTCAGCTTTTAAATTAAATTCAAATTGAACTTACAAGTTTCTCCTGCGGTAATCCAGGTGAAAATACGCAGAGTATCAACTTTTTTCGGTTACCATCAAAAATTATCCACTTAACGAAACATTGGGTTCGAGCTTCTGAGTTGTATTGCGCATGTGTTAGTACAGAAACGCAGTATATGAATTTTATAAACATGGTTGGATAAGTACAGTTGCCTTTACAAAGATAGCTTTCTCTTCCCTTTTTCCAATAGGAATTACCCAATTGGAAGTCTTCCTAATTCTCCGTGTCAATTTTGTTTTTTAGCCGTTTGACAAAAAGTTTAAAAAAATAAGTAAATATAAATGTGCGACGTTTTCCTTCTTACAAATTCCACAAATTAGATTTGTACCTATCCAAAGCAATATTTCGGTATCTTCTGACAGCTTCTAAACAGCCGCAATTAAGAAAAGATTAACTAAAATGTTTCACCACTTTATTGAAAGAAGTTCGCTCTGAAGCAGAAAGTAATTCTAGGTGTGACTAAATTATTCATGACAAAAAATATAGAAAACGCATCTCATGTCCGAGAATTAATAAAAACCAATATGCCTGGGGACTTTAAAAAAATTAAAGCAACACTTTGTCCCCCGAAAACATTATTATTCCATTTAGAAATGGATCTTCCCCATTCAGAATTGATCAAGAACTCGAACGAACGACGCAGAATGTAATTTTCTCAAAGAGCAGGTAACCGTACGTTTCCTGTAACTATGTTTTCATGTAACATCAAAGAAATGTTGTGCATGTTTAAATGTTCTCAAAGAAGTTCATAACGAAACTGAAAAATTTAATTCAATAGGAATTATGCAGAGAAACATCTCGCCGAAAACTTAACGCGAATGCTTTCATCTTTGCATTTTGACAGACACGTAAGAACTTGCTAAGTCGAAAACGGCAGGTAGATTTGAAACAAAAAAATCTCCCTACAAGTTTCGTAGAATTCATTTTGTTTTGAATTTTATTTTGGTCGGGTTTCGAAGTCAGATTCTGGATGAACTTCATTTTAATGTGTTTTAAATATTGCGCAATTTAAGATATTCAGTTATTTTTCATTGAGCTATGTGGAGAGAAACTAATTTGAAAAGAGGAGATCTCACTTGCTAAAGTAGAATTTTCACATCAGCTACTTCGTTTTTATTTTTAATTTTTTTTTTTCGGTGAGTCGCCCAAGAACTATCGTTTTGGGCAAATGCTTTGAGGAACTTAACGCATTAGAATAGTTTTACAAAGAACGCTAAGTTTTTTAAAATGATTTTTCAATATAGCCTGACCCAACACAATTTTCACTGGGGCAAAAGATACTTTCCATTGACCATATCCATGTAAAGGCACTAGCTGACCTATCTTCCGTCAAACGTTGTTCCACATTGCCTCCAATTTTCTGCTTTGGTGACAATAAGATGAGCTTTTCTTACAATTTTTAATAGCATTTCAATTAGATTTAGGCAGAGGTTTCAACTGAAAAAACGGCGTTCGGCGCGCCATGGGAAAGATTAACCTAGGAAATACACAATCTACTGGTAGTTTATCGTAAATGTAAGACTCAGATAAAGGGCCAGGGCTTGGAGGGTAAAACCAACGTTTCATGCCGTGTATCACAAATACATTATATATTATATATATATAGTATTCGAAAAAGTCCTATTTGAGAAGTACACTGGACGTTCGGTTTACTGAAAGCAATCACTTTCTAAAAAGTTCTCTTCAAATTAATTAAATCGAGACGAAGAACTCGAAAGCTCAAAAGAAGAATAGCTCTTTTTAAAAATCTTAAAGAGAAGAACTTGCTAAAAAGAGAATTGGCTTTGTTTTCTAAAAGGAGTACAAGTAGAACGAAGTTTGGAGTTCTTCGGAAGAACATAAAACTTCACCACCACAGCAAATGGTTTCTCGAGGAGTTAAAAGAAATTTCAAAATCTATATTCTTTTCACTCGGTGTTTAAGAAAACTAAAAGACTCGATCGGACGGTAGGCAGCTGGAACATTTATGGTCTTCTACAGCAAAGAGAAGAGATATTTCACATCTTACATGGTTTAACCTGCAGCTAAGTTTGAATGACAATCTTTATTTCAACATGTTCTTAGAACTATCGAAGAATAACAAGGATTTTCTTTAGCGAGTACATTAGTAAGGGCTGTGAATAAACACCGTTTTTCAAAGACAGAACACGTTTTATTTTAAAAATTTCAAGAACGCAGATCTGCGGGACAGCCACGCATTACAAAGCTGAATTTACATGGCATGTTTCATTACGAAATAAGTTTGTAAGCTCGATCAAAAGCGACACAACTGTTAACTTCCCCGCTCTTGACTAAGAACAACAGCTTGCCGCTAAATAACATTCCTGATGGTCAATAGGTGCTTTCATTTGATTGAAAAGTACTGTTCCTTTATATCCTCCAACAAATGAGTTTTGTTGTTATTTCTAGGAAGTGTCAAGTGTGTTTTTTCAAGGTGGAGTGTTTTCTCAGTGCAAAATCTCCGCTCGAGTTACCCGTGTTTTACGCGCACAAAAATTGAACTTAAAAGGTCTTTTAAGAAAAGTGTGAACACTATCATTGAACAAACAATTGATGAAATTAAAAAACTCTCTTGTTTACTACCAAACAATCGGCCAAATTATGCACCTTTCTCGGTGCGAAAGAAAATTCTTAAACACCGTGAAAACCGTTCGAAACCTAACTGCTGAGTTCAATGTCAAAAAGCTGAAAAACAATACAAACTGTTGGCACCGGTTCATAAGAAAAACAAAAAGAGAGTTCTAAATATAGTATGGATTTCTAAACCATTTTCAAATTGCCTTCTTTCTTTCGGGATCTGAGGACAATAAGGCGTCTTTTTGATACACGAGGTTCGGACGGATGCTATTATGTTGTCCCATGTGTCGCGCGCGTACTGAATGTACTGACAAATCCTCGATAATTATTTCGGGGAGATGTATTTTTCAATCTGTTCGAAGTGTTAAAAAGGTTATTTCCTCCG